CACTTCTAGGGGTTGATACCCCATTCTCGGAAGTCTGGACACGCGTCCTCTGGATTTTGCGGGTTCCCCCAGATAAGCGTGCCTTCTCAAGGGCTGGCATGTTGGTTTGTCAGCCTTGGCTCTGTCCTGATACTTTTAGGCATTACCAGTTCAGAGGCATCACCAGCATCAAAGGCATAACCAGCATCAGCAGCAGCACAGGCATCACCAGCAGCCATGGATGCGGATTTGCACGTCACACATCGCCAAACAAAACAGACTCATATTTTTTTCCGGGCCTTCTCCGGATTTTGCGGGCCTTCTCCGGTTTTGCGGGCCTTCTCCGGTTTTGCGGGCCTTCTCCGGGTTTGCGTGCTCCCCCAACCTCTGCGTGCTCGCTCATTTTTATTTTTATTGTTCAAAAAAACTAAAAAGTTGAGAAGGCACTGTCCACTTGGGAAAAGCCTATGGCCAAAAATGAGGTACCTTACAGTAAAAACGCACATCGGCTTTTCCCCGGGGTATCGTGCCTTCTCAGTTTTTTTTTTTTTTTTTTTTTTTTTTTTTTTTTCGGGCGGTTCCCCCAAGCCGGTTCTGCGTCGCCCTGATCGGATCCCCTGTTTGATTTCTTGGGGATCCTAGCTGGTTTTTGACCACAGGGAAAAAACAAGGTTTCATTTCCAGTCCCAGGGGCCCAGATTGCTTGTGAAACAGCGCCTAAAGAGAAAGAGTACTCAGCGCGTTGAACCTTCGTGTGAGGGGGGGACAGCTGGGAAAGCAATCATCAAGTAAATTTATGTCTGGGTGTAAGCGCCCTTTAGAGCGGTTCCAAGAATTGAGAAGGCATGGTCCCCTGGAGAAGCCTCGGGGATGGGGGTCCAGACCCTCGACATTCTCTTCAACCATCGTTCTTTTCAACAACCGGCTGTTTCCCGGGTTTTGCTGATGGTTTCCTGAAAAGATTCGGATCCCTGGGTTCAGAATGCAAATGGAAGCTACCCCTGGACCACCGGGGGTCTGTAGAGTGCCTTCAGGCGGTGGAGACGGCGGCCACCCACGCCGCAGCAGCCTTCGCGGGGCTGCAGCTGAAACAGCCGCCCGGCCGATGAAGCAGTCGGCTTTGGAAAAACTGGGGCGGTCGTCCTTCGGGAAAATTGATGGCACTCGTAAATGACAAGAACCAAATGCAAACCAGTGCCCTCTATTTTTCACAAACTAACCTAACCAGATTCAAGGAGGACACCTACTGTGGATGGAAGAAATCCTGCACCGCTTGGAAACCATGGGAAACCATTGTTTGTTGGCATTTGCAGAGGAATCATCCTTCCAGGGTTTCCTAGGTGGTGCAGGATTTCGTCCATGCACAGTAGGTGCCCCCCAATGGGCGTCTTACTGGCTATGCATCATAGGGATTCAGGCATTCCCAAGCCAACCGGAAAAGTGTCTTCAGAAATACAATGACACAACAAGTTGCGATGGGATTGTAGAGTAAATACCTGATGGACAAACTCCCGCACCAATTGGGATGGATGAAGCCCGATACGTGTTTTTGTTCCTTCTCGGATGAACCACCTAACAACTCAGGGTTTTGTCCGTCCACAGTATGCTCAGCTACAGGTTCCCTAAACTTACTTGCCCAAAGTGAATCGACCTTTGAACCCTTTGGCTTGCCCATCTTGAACCATTTTTAGTCAACAGTAAAGCTCTTCTTCTTTTTTTTCTGGGTTCTTTGGGCAACTGAGCACCCATATGGATTCATAAGCAGTTGCATGCTGTGGGTCAAAACCGATGGGATCCCATTTTGAGGTAGGTGCACCACCCATGTTAGTCTAGTTTAGTGGGGATTCATGAATTGTTGTTGGGCAAAAGCTGAGGTAGGGTGGTTCAGTGGCATCCTCTGCTGCTTGTTCTTTGGTGGGTTCCATCATTCGAGGCATCTTTTGGAGGGTCTGCAGGCGAGTTCTGATATTGCAGGGGAACCTTCCATGCGTCAATTGCGTGCACGTGCGTGCGTGTGTGTGTGTGTGTGACTAGATTAAGACCGACTACATGATTTCACAATGTTGTACTGCGGATTACGAAGCCATCATGTTTGGGTTGCATGTGATTTTTTTTGGGGGGGATGGCATTTATTTGAACCACTTTTCCACTCTAGTGGCAAACAACAAGTTTGGTCTTTATTTGGCCAAGCCACCCGATGGGAAGTGAATGTAGAAAAAGTGACGTTCAGACAAGTCTTCCGCATGACCAGAACACAAGTGATGCAGCACCAGTTGTTCAGAAGTTCAGGACCCCATTTGTTTGGCTTTTCCAACCACAACTCGAATCGACCCCAAAAGAAGATGACCTCTTGCATTGCATCCTCTTTTCTTCAGGGGTCACGCCTTGCATCCACCCTTTGGCTCCTGAAAAAGGAGGCACTTGAGCCACTTCTGGGTCTGGGCCATCTTACCATCTTATGGTGGGTCTGACCCCTGCAGAGCAGGCTCGCCTCAGCAGGTACGGTGGGTGGCGTGAGCAAGAACTGCTGCGACAGCAGGGAAAGGCAGACGCAGACATGAACGGGCACGACATGAACACCAGGAATTCGCCGTATCTTCTGGTGACTCTGCTGCTGGCGGCCGCCTTGAGACAGGCAGGCAGATTGCATGGCCTGAAGGGGGAGTGCTGCAAGGCAGAGGACGTGGAGCGAACCGTGGAATTCTTTACGCGGAATGCCTTTTGGGCTCCAACGTCTCCCAGGTGACTGCACGATTGAGCAGTTCTTCATATGTCCTCCCCTGGCAGATGGTTCTACTACATGGGTTCGGATAGGTTATGGTAAGGCATATACAAGCCTCTAGAAGCATTTTGGTAGAATCAACCGTCGATGGGTTTGGGCGCTGCTCCTAGGTCGACGACTAAGTTCTGGTTGGTTCCAATGGAAGCCGCAATGAAACCAGCCGCGGGTTTTTTGCTTTTCGACAAGCCTCGGTGGCTTCCCCCTCTGAGTTTGCCTGTGGCCCGAAAGATTGCCAAGTTGGCAAGTAAGGAAGGAGTAGAAGCAGGCCTGAAGCTGAGAGGTCTATCAACTGGGTTGCCTCTCTAGCAAGAAAGGTTAGCACATGCTTAGCACATGCTTAGCACATGGTTAGCACATGTTAGCACATGGTTAGCACATAGAACTCCAGTGGAGTGTTTTTTGTGGCCCGCGAGCTAATCACTTTGAAGGGGAATCAAGTCCAACGCCCAATTGTGGCCCATTTGGTTGAAATCTCCAAATGTCGAACCGTACCTAACTGACTGTCTCGCTTGGCCAAGGCGAATATACCCTTTCACGCTTTGGGTCTAAACGGTTGACCTTTTTCTTTCCCGGTCCTCTTGGGCAATTCCCCAGTGCCCTTCTCTCCCCATTGGGGGAGGGTTCCCCTTAAAATAGGCAGAAAAAGTGGGTGCCCTTCGAACCTCTCAAATCTGGACCTAGTAAGAGACACCTCACCGCCTTTCGGTCCGAAGGTGTTGCTCACCTGTTCGCTTCGAGGCGCTCCACTCGCCTCCGCCGCGCGTGAGAGGTTCTCGGATTTTCGCCGCGTCCGACAGCGGCGGAACCAAAACGAAAATCGGCCGGTGGAGGTGGGGTCGGGAGAAGGGCTGAGAAACCAAAGTCGCCTCCCGAATTCTGGTTCGGACTTTAGGCACTTGTGGGGTTTGGACCATGTTAGGGGTAATCAAAGGGTCTGGGCGGTTTTACTTCCGACGTTGGTTCGCTAATGAACTCAGGAAGTGAGTAACTGGACTTGAGACTTTTAGGGGCCAAGCTGTGAAACTTACTTGCATATTTTTGGACTTGATGGGGAAGGGAGGGGACTGTGTTCCAATCCACTGACCAGTGTGGATCACAACCGGAAAGAAAAAAAAGACTAATTTGGTGTGACGCGCTCGGTCAACTCCAGGGCCTCAATGATTTTTGCTTCCAGGGTGATGGAGCAAGTTGTTGGTTTTGACAAAACCGCCCTGGAGAGCTTGGTGTTCGGAAATTGTAAGTTGCTTCCTTGAAAAAGAGCTGCGAGTATTCATGGCATGAAGGCGCCTTCTTCTCGATTGGCTCCACAAGGAAAAATAACTTGGCTTCTGCTACACTGCACAACCCTCCAAGTTCCTGTCGGCATCAACCACAATGATTCTGGAGACTTCAGTGTTTGTCCTCGATTGAAGTAGCATCCAAATTTGACACATTTACGCTGAGCTAGCCTGACATTCAATGACTTGCATCCGACATTCCAGTCTTGGTTCCTTGTTTTGCCACAAACCCATTTATTCAACCATTCACCTGGCGTTGCTGGCTAGGGGTCAGGAAGCCCTGAACGTAGACAAACATCAGTGCTTGTGGTAAGTTGTACCTGCAAATCTCGTACCGAGGGGTCAACATGATTGATTCCCCGCCCCATTCTTTTCTTTGGGCTGCTTTGAAAATGGAGTGTGGGCCTCCTCATCAACCGTTTTTGTTTGGGAGGGACGCCACTAGAAAGCTTTGTCTCTCTGCCCGAGTTCCCTTTCGGACTTTAGTCACTTTTCCGGGGGTTGGTCATTTCAGTGGCCAACAACAAGTTCTGACTTTTGGTCCATCCACTCGATCGGAAGTGAGTCTTTGGGGTCCAGGTTTGCCTTTCGCCGTGGTTTTCCTGAAGCAACTGAGCCTTTTCCTTGAGCCAAAAGGGCATCCCCATTTTTGAGAAGACCCACTTGAGAGTGCTTAAATATATGGCAACCACCAGGACATGATAGCCATAGCTAAGCGATCTCTCGAAAGCTTCCACATGTGAGAGGTGAGGCTTGCGCAGGAATTTGGCAGCCAAGGTTTGTTATTTTAAATGTAGCAAAGTATTTAATTTGCCAATCATCCACGTCACCAGCAATTGCCAGCTTTTGAGATGCCAAAATCACAATTTTAGTTCTGCCATGGAAAGTCAAGCCAAGCTTTTGGGGCCTGCTGTTGAAGAGCGAAACCCGGCGTGCGCCTTCGGATTCAAGCTTCGACCGCCAGTTTCTGGCTCTAGCTTCTTATCCGTTTGAGCAAGCCAGCGATGAGCGCCATTTCGTTGCCGACCAGCGCCTTGCCGAGGGGCAAGAGGAGGGAGCTGCCATGGAAACCAAGGTATCTGAAGGTGTGTAAGGGGCAGACACCATGTTAATGCCAGGCTTTGATTATGACTCACGTGCGACTACAGTGGCCCTCCATTATGTTTCTCTTGAATAAAGTCCGCCCTTCCAATTCTGTTGTGTACGCTTTGCACCAAACGGGAAATTAAACCCAAACAGGGGTTGCACGTGTTGCCTTTCGAGCCGCGTCTTGAAACAGCTCGGTTTTTTTTTCCGCTGAAACCTTTAGGGTCTTCGGGCCAAGGGGAGTGACTCGGTTTAGGATCCGAACAAGATGATCCGGTACCCTTCCGTGAGAATCGGACAAGAGGCTAACAGGGTTGGGTGCCCCCCATCGGCAAAAACAGGTGGTTCCAAAAACCATGCCCAGGGCAAATAGGTGTTTTTGGCGTAGGCCCGCATCCTTGAGGCTATTGCAGGGAAGCAATGAGCGTTTCGGCGAGTTCCGCATCCCCATCTCCAGAGTGGCTGCCACTGCCGCGCCTGGCGAAGGAGGCAACGATTGGTCTCCCTAGGCTCAAGTTCCATGTGCCATGTACAGGTACTTTCACCATTTCAAGCCTCAAAATCGCATTCTCAGAGGGTACTTAGTCCAGGTCCCCCAGTAGTGCCCTTTCACCGATTTTTGTTGGGGGGGAGGGTTTTGCTGCTGAAGTAGACAGAACAAAGTAAAGGGGACCCTTCTTCTAACCTCACCGGAGGACCTAGTGACCCTTTGCTTGAATCAAGAGCCATGGGAGTCCATCGAAAATGATGGACCGATCGAAAGCCTCCAAAGCTCGGAGCGGTTGTGTCGAAGGGGGGGTCATGTGGGTTCCCTTAAGCCAAAAAGGGTGTCCGAGAGAAAGCTCAGGGCCAGAAAAGGCCTCAGACCTTGCAGTTCTTTCTCTTCTTGATTCAGAGCCAGAGCTATTGGAGGCTATCCACGGAGGCTTAAATGGGAACCAACTGCAAAGAGACACCAAAGGTAGCCCAATTTGGCGGGAAGGGAAGGCGTTCCGATCAAAGAGTTCCTGAAGTCTTTTCCGGGATTCGATCAATTGGGAGCATCACTCCTATACTATGTGTAGCATCCTGGCCCAGCGAATCCATTTGCGGGTATAATTAAAGGGAATCCAATTTAAGCGCAAGAAGGATACCCTCCCATATATAGCACCTGTGATCACTTTCTTGCCGGGACCCCCTGTCAGGTGCCATCGTTATGTGGGAGTGTGTGCACTAGCTGGTTACCATTCCGATTTCGGAGCAACTGGCGATGGCTCCGTTCAGGAGATGCACGTTGCGGGCCTGTGCGTGCCCTGCTTGTTCCACCGCAGCAAAGCGGATGGCTGTCGGAAAGGCCGGTTTGACCAGTGTGGACCACCGTGGGGCTCAAAGTTCGTGGGAGGAATGTTGAGTTCTCAGCTCTGCGGTTGTTTGGAGTTGGTGTCTCAGGCCCAGTTTTCCAACGAAAAACACACGTTTCCTTTTCGACATCCACTCACTCCCTGAGTTCATGGACTTTATACTTTTTGGGAAGACCATTTTGGTGGTAAACAAAGAGTTTGGACTTTTTTTGGCCAATCAACTCAGGAAGCGAGTCCATGTTTATGGACCCTGGGTCTAACAAGTAGGGCCCCCCAGACGCGCATGTTGGACACTGGGATGGTTCCCGCGGTCTCTTGACACCCCGGTTGTGGCACCCGCATAGGTTTCCTTTCGGGTTGTTTCGGCGGAAACAAAGATGGCGATTCCTGGTTTACCCGGTGGTTTCATTATTTGCCAGGGCGGTGTATTTCCGTTTTTCCCAAGTTCTTGGTCACGTGTTGATAAAAGGGCCGTGCTACGGTGGCTAGTGTTCCACTTTGCCTTGCTTTTGATCTGCTATTTCCAGGGCAGAACGCGGCCCTTGTCAGGACTCCTATTGCGCTCTGTTCGCCGTGATTGCGGGGTATGGTCATCGCTTTTGTGGGTCATGGTCGCATGGGTTCCCAGAGGAACCTTTACATTGCTTGTCTAAGATCCTGTTTTGATGCCCATCCCTGCCAACCCCAAGCAAAGCCTTCATCTGTTGCCCGCCCAACCAACATATATGGTTGATTCTGGCCCATATGAAGTGAACCTTTAAACGCAAGAACGTTTGTTTGGAGATCCACGGAACGGAGTTTTCTGTTTTAACCATGGCACATATAGGCCCTGACCAGAGTTGGTATCACAAAGCTACAGAAGTCTTTTTGTAGGTGGTGGTGCATTCGGGATTATATCGAGGATCGTACAAAGCATACGCAGACTGTAGCCTGACTGTATCGAGCCCCAAGTCCATTGGGTTAGGCCAGCAACATACTCAGTGGAGGGGTTGGAGGTTGCTTTGCGACTAAAACCCCTTAAAACGAATGAATACCCCGAATTCAAGATTAGCCATGGCACATTTAAGCCTTCTCAAACTGAAAAGCCCTACAATGGTTGGATTCTTGCTGGTTTCCCTTGGAATACCACCCAAAAAGGAGGTCCACCATTCTGAGAAACCTCCAAAAGATACATTCAGAATTCGCCCACACAGATCCTCCAAATCAACCGGTGAATGTGATTAGTGGCCATTATCGGGTTTATATGTGTATATATATATATATATATCTAAACAAACCATGCGTCTCTCTGAAAGCCAAAAACCCATTTTTTTTACAAACCCAATGTTTACTTCTTTTTTATATAAGACCAGTCAATGCACTTTCGGTTGTATATATACGTATACATCTATGAAGCACAAAACGCCAAGATGTACTCTTGGTGACATCCCTGGCTTCCCCCATGAGCGACTCTCCAGGCGATGCCTGCAGCCACTGCCACTTCTGCAGCCGTTCGGAGGTCTCCCACCGGCGCAAGGCGCTGCACCTGCAGATGAAGCGGAAGGACGCCCAAGACTCTCAGGGTTGATTCCCCATGATTTTCAGCCATCGTTCTTTTCAAGAACCGGATCTGTTTCTCCAGGGCTTCTGGAAAGAATTTTCGGAAGAGAGCCCCGAGAAAGACGGCGCGGTAAACCGCAAATCGGTGGATGTTTGGATTGGTTTGCAACATCGTGGCTCCTCCACCCCCACCCTAAGAGAAAAAAGGGGGGGGGTCTGGGACCCAATTCCGCTGTCGGTTTTCTTCGAAGACAATGGAACCATGAAGGGAATTCCAGGGGTCATCACTTCCCCCAATTCCATGTTTAGGGGGGTGGGGAGTCAGGTAACCCTCAATCGGTGGTTTGGGTTGGCGGGTTAGATTTTGATTTGAACGGGTCCATGCTTCTTGCAGAGGGCAAATGGAACAAACTGCGATGAGGTACGTCGGGCAGGGTTTCCGAGCCATTTCCCTTTTTGGAACCTCCAAAAACGGCGATCGTTTCAATGAAAGCCACTCGCAAATTGAGCAACTGAACCTAACATATATTCCTCAAACTAATTTTGGTGTTCCATCATTTTCCCCCGGCAAGCACAGGGTTTCTGGCATTTCCCTTTTCGGAACCTCCAAAAGTGGCAGTTTCAATGAACGCCACCTGTAAATTCCAACTGTTGAAGGAAAAATCCAGTGACGTCCGCAAACAGTTGTTGCTTGCCGGTTTTGACTCGTTTGGCAATCCGCCATTTTCCGCCCGCAGGAGGCGGCGCAGATGCATCAGGAGAAGTCAAGAGCGGGAGGGGGGTGTTTTGGTTGGAGGCTCGGTGCCCTTTGGTTGGTTATTCGCGAATCCCTTATGTGCAGCTGTGTGCCTCGATTTCAGGTTTGGGAGAGTCCTGCCTGTGGCTCGCAGCATTCTGGACTTTGAAGCTGTGAAGATCATGTTGACAGGGCTTCTCCGGGCACAAGGTGTTTGCTGTTTTCTTTCATCGCAGGGTAGAAGAAAAAGGGCTGCACTTCAACCTGGGTATGGCTCGTCAAAATGGGGGCCCGAAAATGGATGTGTTCTTTTCGGTTCTCAGTAAACCAAGCCTAGACAGGGCGCGTTCAACACACACACACACACACCTCAAAACACACCTGAGCGTCTATCAAACCTCTGGAAGACCATATATGTAAAGGGCTGGACATGACATACCAACATGTGCAGTAGAACGTGCAAAAAGCACGCGAAACGATAGGGTTGAAAAAAAAAACTAAACGATAACCTAACTAAACATGGTTTTGTGTATGGGGCCCCTTACGTAAGGAAATGAGAAGCTGAGTGTATTTCCTTCACTACACTTGTACCGAACAGTTGCGACTTTCGAGCCGGAGCTGCCAAAGTGTATTGTCTTTACTACACTTGTGCTGAAAACTTGCGACTTTCGAGCCGGAGCTGCCAAAGTTTACTTCATTTTCTACACTTGTGCTCAAAAGTTGCGACTTTCGAGCCGGAGCTGCCAAAAAATGTACTTCGTTTACTACACTTGTACTGAAAAGTTGCGACTTTCGAGCCGGAGCCCCCAAAGTGTACTACACTTGTACTGAAAGTTGCGACTTTCTTTACTGGCACTGTGTACTTCGATTTGGCGTGAAACGGTGAATTGCACAAAACCCTGTAAGACGATAGGGTTGCAAGAAAAAGCGATAATCTCTACCCGATGTCCTTTGGCTATACAAGAGGTTTCATTAGTTGCTCACATGTTCTTTGGAACAACTGTTGATAATTATTGTCCAAACTGTCAGACAGTCAGCGATACGACCGGAAGAGCCGCCCGTGAAGAACAACATCAACGGCAGCTCAGGTCGACGTGCACCATTTCGGGTGTTTCTTTCTAAAGAAGAATCTCTAAATGACGGTGTCCTTTGACAACTCCAAAACCATCCATCCACATCTGGGGAAAATGCGGTTTTTGAGATGTGCGAGATGCACGTTGTCTGCCAGGAGAAGCAGTTCTTTTGGCTGTGAGCAAGCCATCTACGACACCTAAGCGAATTAATGCGTGCTCATGCCTGGCTGATCAGGCCTTGGCACGGAAAATAAAATCGACTCGCCTTTGAAGGCGGCCATGGCTGCTCTTTGCATTCGAACATGTTTCAATATCTACGTTGCTGCATTTGGCTAGTGTATCAGAGAGGTTTCCCAGCTGGCAAAGGGTTATACCTACTACAGGGGTATCGTAACTGGGATTCAACTTGTCTGGGATAAATATATATATATATATACACTTATGTATTCATGGTTGGCCGTGTGGCTAATTCCCAGATGGATGGTGTGTGTGTGTGTGTGTTTTTTTGGTGGGCACCTGTAGGGAGGGGTACCTGGAAGATGAATTTCAGCTTCAAGGAACCTTCTGTCGGGCGCCATGTCGGTGAGAGTGAGGGTAGGGATTGATAAGTAGAACTGTTAAGGGATCAGGGCCCCAGTCACCTTGGATCACGATCAACCCATCAACAAACCACAAAGAGACGCCGAAGCGGCCTGCAGTTGTATCCCGGTTGGCGAGATGTCTGGCTTTTGCATGCCAAGCGGTGAGGTTGATGCGGCTAAGGGCGCGCGACGCGCCCTGGAAGATGTGTCTGAAGCTGGGCAAGAGATTGAATTCACTCCTTGTTGAACCGATGCTTGTAGGTAACTCCATTGTTTGAACAACCACTGCCTAGGTCCCCCAGTAGTGCCCTTTTACCCTTTTTGGGGGAGGGTTCCTCCCCTACCAAAATAAACTACCGAAAAAAGGGTGCCCTTATTCGAACCTCTCTACTGGAGGACCTAGCTGCTGTTTGCAATCACCGTGAGCTGTGACGAGCGTTGTTCAAGCGACCATTTGATGCCTTTCAACGGTCAGGACCTTGTCTAGAGTCTAAATAAGGCAATGTTGCCCGAGCCCACTTACGGCCCTAGGGATTCCTATTATTACAAATCTATTATCTTTGTATTAATTGTTGTTTAATAGCTTTTCCGTAAAAACATGTTACTTCTCTTTTTTAATTATTAACTTTATATCATATGTGTTTACCTTTGATCAAGACTCACCAATCAATATCTTTTCCAGAATAATAACCAATATATAATCCTCTAATCATTATTAATATACAAAATATGTGTGCATTAATTATTCATCTCGTTTCTCTTCTTTTCATTTACAGTTTACATGCTTTCCTATCCGTCATTGTAATTAAACAATAATATCTTTTGCATTCATGTTATTTACCTTCCATGGCATTCATATCTAATTCACTTTTTGCTGTATCTCGCTTCATCCATCTGTCCTTTCTTTACTGCTGACATAGGATTCTAACGGATAGAGAACTGTTCTCTCCTTGTCTTTTCGCAATACCATTTTTTACTGTCTATTATTTGTTTATAGATGATTCCCTGTATCCTAGAGATTACTGAATAGACAGATAATAAGATATCCCGTCCTTTCTCTGTTCCTAATCCGGACGGGTTCCCTTCCTTCTAAGCCACTCTTCTTTCCGTTACACGGCGTGGCTTAGGGAAGGTATCATTTGTCTATCTTTCATGTCTGTTATCTCTTTATCCATCTTTCATCTCTTTCTACATCTTGTTCACTCACGTCCTATTCCTTGCTTCTGGACGTGTCACCAACTTTTTTTCTTCTACTCTCCATCTCTTCCTTATCTTTGTTACACGGAAATGCTTCTAAGATGTAAACTTCATTTCCTAATCCTTTCCTTTCCTATCATGTACACCTTGGGATTTTGATTTGGGTGTCAAAGAATAGTTTCCCCAGCTGAATCCTACTGTGTAAACAAAATCCTGCACCCCTTTGAAACCATTTGAAACGTTTGTTTGTTGGCATTTACGCCCTACCAGGGTTTCTTAGGTTGCGCAGGATTTCACTTTAGGGAGCCGTCTTTTCATAAGTTGTGGGAGAGTGACAACATTGCAACGCAGCAAGAAGTAACTTCCGAGGGAAGTCGAACTCCAAGACTATGAGCTGGTAAAAATGAGCACAATGATTTTCCCTCGGGAGCCGTTTCTGGAAGTACGGCTTGGATCGGCTTGGTACTGTCTTGCCAAGGGGACTTCCCCACTTTTTAATGGACGCTGGCCGTTTGCGAACCCCAGAATACTCTGCAGATGGAGGTTTCTGGGTAGCCTACGCACAGGGGCACTAGAAGTGTTGGCTCAAACATGGCGTTTCATGGTGCAGTTGGGGACATATGTGGACATATGTGCCGATCTTTTTAATATGGGTTTGGAATTGTCCGATTCGGGGGTCAAATAAATTCGCGGAGGTACTGGGTGTGTTTTTTCTTAACAGGACGCTTAGGGTGGATTTTCAAGGGAAAGTCAAGGGAGAACGACCATAGTGGCTCGCTATTTAGGACACACCCATGTCTTATCTCAGGATTTGGATTTACAACATGTCGACCAACTCTGCTGGTTTGTTGATTTCGGGAGCAGCCCAGCCCATTAACTGACTGCCCGAGCGCCCGGCGCGAAGCTCGGAGCATCCCACCATTTGCCTTGCACGGACCCAAACCTATAAGGTTCCCCAAACGTTTTTTTTTTTCTTGGGAGGGTTTTCAAGTCAACAAACGTCGTGGTTTGGGCGGACACTCGGTCTCGCAGTTCTGCCAAAGTGTCCCAAACCGGATCTTGTGAGATCCCTAAAGCAAAAAGCGGCGAGCAAACGAGAAGGGGATGGCTACTTACGAGCAAACGAGCAAAACTTGCCAGGATTGTGCCCCTATCTGCCTCACGGGGAAACGCGGCATGCTTTGCCAGGCTGGAATTCCTCAAACCGTCTTGTGAACGTGGGACATCACCCCAAAAAAGTATTGCTATGTCCAAGTTGTAAGGGTAGTTTGAGTGTCCAAGTGCATACTTGCTGCAATTTGTGTGTTGAGCTCATCGATTCGCTTGTAACATGAGCTACGATGCGCACTACCTGATCCGAGTCTTACTTCAGGCTGTTGAGTTGCTAGAATTTGAAGATAGTACCTAATCTACGCACTCAGTGAGAGGCATCACCATCGGGCGAAGCCGGGAGGACTTCAGGAATTTGGCAACCCATGTTCAATGGCGTAGTTGAGGACTGCAACGACTTCCAACCTTGGATTCCGCCCTGGGATCAGAATGGATTCATGTAGTTGAAGGGTGAGGGACAATCTTAGCCAGGGTGCGGAATTCCATTCTGGATTCTTTGCAGACCCCGTTTGCCAGGAGACCCGAAAAAAACGGGTTCGCATGTACGAACTGGTTCCGATCGCTTGCAGCAAAGCGCAATCAATCATGAAAGGAAACCATTTGGTGGAACCCGCCCGACGGTACAGCAACGACATTGCCGGATGCGCCGTTGAATGAACCGCCGCCGGAATGCAGTGGGCCCTCAAAGGGGATTATTGAACCCATTTGGGGGTATCAGTTGGCTTCAGCTGGCTTCAAATATCAACCAAGAGGGGGGGCTGTTCCACCCATGTGTTCAAACCAGGACCAATTTCCATCATCTGATGGAACAGCCAGGAAAATCCGGAAATCTCATATCACGATGTGTTCAAGCAAGGACATCGCAAAAACTTGCACCCATTGGTGCCGAAGGTGTTCTTAACGACTCGCGGAAGGTGCCCGTTCCCGACTCGGGCGCTCCAAACTCTTAGGCCGCGCGGCGTGCTTGGCTCCCGGAGTCCACCCCAGTCACGTCTCCCGTTGTCCAGTTGAAATCAGTGACCCTTAAAAGGGACTGCCCCGTTTTCCCCAAGGGCCAGAAACTGTGACCCAGGGGAAGTGATAAAGTAGTCATGGCTGCCTCCTTTCTTATCACAATGGTGATGTAGATAGGTAGATTGGACAGATAGGGAAATAGGTGGGTAATAGATAGATAGAGAGAGAGAGAGGGAGGGATGGAGAGAGAGGGAGGGAGGGAGAGAGAGGGAGAGAAACAGAGGCAAACAGACAGACATACAGACGGATAGACCGAAGGATACACAGATGGATCAATAGATTGCTAGCGGGTGTGATAGATAGACAACTAGATGGATAGCTAGATGGATGGATAAGCAACGGTATATGGGTAGATAGATAGGTAGTTAGATACAAGGTTAGACAGACATATAAACATGTAGCAGAGCAGATGGGTAGAAGGATTGCATGGAAAGATGACAGATATACTGCTAGACAGAATGACAAGTCTCAACAGATAGATTGATAGATGGATGGATGGATGGATGGATGGATGGATGGATAGATAGATAGATGGACAGATGATAGGCAGATAGGTAGATAGATATATAGATAGAACGATATGTATAAATATATATATATATATACAGATAGACAGACAGATAGACGGAAAGACAGACAGACAGACAGATAGGCAGATAGATAGATTGATAGGTAGAAAGAACAATAGATAGATACATAGGAGAATCGGTAGTTAGATACATAGACAGATGGATACGGAGACATACAGAAAGATAGCCAGACAGAAAGAACATGAAATAACATATTGAAAGAAGAAGGGAAATACAGACAGAAACAAAGGGATATCTGAAGGAGACAGAGCACGATGGCTTAGTTGGATGCTTCCGCCAACCGGCTTCCCTAGCTCTACTGCTAGGTACCCAGCAATGGGGCTTTTAGACTTGAAGGGTGGGACGCACTAGTTTCCCCAAGAAGGCAGAGGAAACTTTCACGAGTTCCCTGGTTCAGTCCTTCCAGCAGTTTGATCGAACCTATCAGCACAAGCTCCGGGCCGGCTGCAGCTCATGTCGAGCAAACCGCTGGATGCGCATGTTCCGCCTGCGGGCGCCGTATACGACTCGGCAAGTTTGGCGTGCTGGGGCGTGGTGGAGGTCGAAATATGTGGCCATAATTACGGATGTCCCTCAATTGGGCGGTTTTTCTCTTTGGCTTCCGTTTGAATCAAGCTGAAGGAGGTACCTTCCATTCACACTCATGGGGAGTTTGTCCTGAACAACGGGAACCTAAATGAGTGGGAGACCTGCGGTTTCACCAAATGAATTCGGTGGTTTCCCTTGGCCTTTGAACAGCAACAGCTATTCGGGGGTCTTACACCGGGTAGATTTTGGGGCAGATTTCTGGCGGTTTCTGGCGGTTTCTAGG